CATGAGGAGCTCCGCGAGGAGACCCTCCACCTGTGTGTGGCGTTCGTGGACCAGGTCCTGAGCCAGGTCACCGTCAAGATGAGTCAGCTGCAGCTGGTCGGGATCACTTGTCTGCTCATCGCCTCAAAGTTCAGGGAGCGGTTTGCGCCGGAGGTGAGTCATCTTTTTTCGTTTTTAGTAAGTTTAAGTTTTAGTTAGGTTTTTCGGCGCTTGCAACTACATAAGGTCATATGAGCGCCAAAGGGTGGATGTCAACAGAGATGTCCTTAAAGGGAAACAGACTTACTCTGCTCACCTCTCCAGCCGCAACAGCACAAAGTCTGCTTCAACTAGCAAGACACCCCGGAAATTACGGGTCACAATAGTGTGACAAACATACAAAAGAAGTAGAGGGAAAATGACGATAGTAAGAATTAGGAAAGAAAACGCCACAGTTCCCTGTTGCAATTCAGGCACAGTTATGAGAATGACATTGATGGATCAGCTCATTAACAATTACAATTCTACTGTGCAGAAGAACATGGTTAATGTCTCTCCCCCATTCCCTCCCGCTGGGAATGGCATAAAGACACTTCAGTCAGTAGCACCGCTTTGGGGTGTTAGTTTTAGTAAAAGTTTTATGGCACTTTCAACACAATAAGGTCATATGGTCGCTTTTAAGCACAGGGATAAATGCTGTTTTGAGAAAATCGAAGTTAAAAGTTTTTGGATTCTTATTCAGTCTCTTTAAAAGACAAGGAGAGTTTTCTGTAAAACTAAACAACTATAGCACCAATGAAACCAAACTTCTCCTATAGGTAGGGCAATGTCCACTTTTGGTGTAGATTAAGATTTTTGGAACCCGCCGAAATCTTAATTAGTCCGCTTGTCCTAAAAAGCGACCATGTATGTGTCAAAGATTAGAGGTGTTACAAGAGAGAAACAAACACAGAAAAGGATGAAGAGAGAAGAGAGAAAGATAGGTTTTATAAGAAAGAAGGAGCACACCACACCAGAGCACCCGCCAACCGCCCACGGTGAGTGGTCGTGGATAGTTTTGGGTTTGTTTGTTTTTGTAAGAGTTTTATGACACTCTCAACACAATTATGTCCTACAAGATCGTTTGGATGGGTTAAAA